TCATCTGCAGCTTCTACGTCAGTCTCCTCTCCTGCGCCATCTGCCATCGCTCTCAAGAAGAGGAAGAAGAGCTTCACTCCCTCGACCCAACCGAAGAAACAGAAAACGGCGGCAGCCTCCAATTCTTTCCCCTCTTCCAATTTGACGCAATTAGCGGCATTTACGCCCAATCCCACCTCTTCTTCCTCTCTGAGTCCTTCCGAGCCCAGCTCTGGTCAAGACACGATTCCTTCGCACGATCCCCCGGCTTCGCACGATCCCCCAGTACCACCTTTCGAATCCAGCCCTTCTACTCCCACGAATTCAAATGATGCCGGCGTTCATCCTGCCCCTAATTCCGCAAACGCGAACGCCCACAGCACTCCCCATCCCGCAAATATAGACAATAACGTCGCCATCACTGCTCCCATACCAGTAGATGGGAACGCCCACATTCCCGCCCCTCCCGCAAACATAAACGCAAATATAGGAGGCTCTTCCGATCATACCTCTGCAAACACAGACGGTGCTGCGGGAAAGGTACATCCCTTTCTAACTCTGGGTGAGCGCTCTGAACCTGTCTGATTATCCTTCTCTTCAAGCCAATCAAATTTGTGAATCTGCTGTAAGTTTATGTCTTTGATTCTTCCCTCCATTTTGTTACTGACATGCATACAGTGACGCACAGTTTGGGCCTGCCTCTGGTCCCACAGCACGAAGCGAAGCTGCTGCCGGTTCGTAGAGTCTTTTCAGCCCACTGGCTCGCTAATCCCGTCTGCGACAGCTGCGACGTCGACGAAAACCGCGAAGCAAGCCAAAAAAAGACTTGGCACATCAAGCACGCCCGCGTGAGTGTCTCGTACATATTCAAGCCAGAAATCCGATTGAACTCACTGTCTGAAGCAACCTATTCTATGCCGACTACCTCAAGGATCATTCGCCCGTGACGCCTAAGGAATTCGATAAAATCTGGGCAGAATTGTCCCCGGAAGCCCGTGCAGTAATGTTGATTTCCTCTTCTCTTCAGTTGAACCTGACAATTGCCTAGAAATGGCAGTCTCGCAGCACAGAACTTAGTACAGCAAAAAAAGCTTCGAAAGCACAAGCAGCCGCCGCAGCCTCGGCCGTTTCTCAGACGTGGTCAGTAACAGTATTCTTTGTCTTGGTTTTGCAGGCTGAATCACTGACGCCCTGAGTCAGAATGTATACTGACCCAAGCGGTTTTTTTTGGTACGTACACTCCAATTTTTATGTTCTCGGTAGCGCCGCCCTGAATCTGCACTTCATCCAGTTTTTCTTGAACAACACGATCGCGACGCTTGGAAGAAACTTTTTTTAGACTTCTTACATCACATTCAGAACCGGGTGCGTACATACTTCACTACCCTACAATGTTCTGATATCTAGTCGGCACTTCCATACGTAGAACAGGAACTCCCCAAAGACGTACAGATGAAGCGGGCCATGTAGTAAGAGCTTTATCTTCCTTTTCTAATGCAATGTTATGCTGATTGGCAATTTATTTAGCAGATTTCTTGAAGAAAGGGAGCCTACTATGGGGCGGGCAGGGGAGTGTGGTGAATTGGTAGGCGGAGCGGCGGATTGGTAGGCAATGCGGCGGTAGATTGGTCGGCGACGTGGCGGCGGGCGGTGGAGGAGCAGGTGGTTCGTTGTAGTTCGTTGTGGCTCGATCGCGAATACATTTGGCTCGAATTGTTGCATGAATTCTTCGAGCCACATCGAGCCCTGAGCCAATCTGCGAGCCAGATAGATCCAGCCAAAATATGCTACATGTGGCTCGATCTGGCTCGATCTGGCTTGCTGTCGTTTTCACTGGGCTTGACCATCTACACATTACAACGGCACCGCTCTGCAGCCCGGGTGGCCATCCTCTCCGTGGTATTCTTCACTTCACTATTCCTCACTCTGGAACATCCTCTACCCATACCAATGCACACATCAATTCTCAGTGGTCTTACCTGGCTTGATGAAGTACTGCACGGCCATCCTGCGCACTGCCATTGGGAACTTGGCATGTCAGCATTGCAGTTTGCCTTGCTTTGGGTGGAACTTGCATCAACGTGAGATCTGGGTGATAGCTGTTACATCATGGCGCAGGAGCAGCTAGCTATGCTTGTCTATTGGATGGTGCATGGGAGTAGCCAGCGGAGCTCCAGGAACGATTCCAGAGATCAGGCAACACCATTAGCTGATACCTCAACAAGGGTCTACTCCTCCTCACGGGCTCGTTCTACGAAAAATATATCAAAGACCCAGCCAACGAGACCCCCGAGAAAATTTTCATGAACTCTAGGTGGTACCCTTCTTCAAGTACTGCCGGGGAGCAGTCGACGGCGTCCATGTCTCTGCATTTGCACTCACTTGTGACATACTCTGCTACCGAGATTGTCATGGAGATAGCAGCCAGAATTGCTTTGCTGCTTGCGACTGCGACATGAGATTTGTCTACATCATGGCTGGATACGAAGGAACAGCCGCAGACGGACTTCTTTACAACTGTGCACGGCAGCACGGATTCTCATTACCTGAAGGATGCTACTATCTTGCCGACGCTGGTTTCGCCAACTGTGACCTTCTCCTCGCTCCATATCACGGCATTCATTATCATTTGAATGAATGGAAGCGTGGTGGCCAACAGTTTTATTTCAGCATTCTCTACTACTATTCTACATGTGCTAATATTCTCATAGCCCACAGACAAATGAGGAGCTCTCCAACCTGCGACACGCGCAGCTTCGAAACATTATCGAGTGCATATTTGGCGTAACAAAGTGTCGGTTCCGGGTCCTCACGTTGGCACCAGAAATGGGCTATAGACAGCAGGCATTGATGGTGAATGCAGCGGGGGCATTGCACAACTTCCTTTGTGTGCATGCGGGCATTGACGATGTAGAGGGTGATGAAGAATACAACGTCGAAGGTCTTCCGTTCTTTGCAAATGCGGACGCCATACACGAAGTGCCACCAGCCCCTGCACTGTCAAATGCTGAAAGGACACGTGCGGATGCACATCGAGATGCAATTGCACAGGCAATGTGGGACGAGTACATCTTAGATCACCCTGATTTGCAGTGAAAACAGTATGATTGATGCATTGGGGTACAGAAATGCGATGTATGTATGTGATGTATAATGAAAGAGTCTGATATGATGTATGAGAGAAAGAGTCCGATGTGACAAGAGAAAAATGGAAGTACAAAGCTACAAGTCAAGGGTCTAAACAGGTCCAATAGCAGTGGCGGCAGCGGCAGCATTGTCGGTAGGAATGATGATACCTGCATCCTCGAGGATACCTTCGAGCAGTGCCTTGCGACGGGTATGATCTTCTTCGACGATCAAGATGTGTGAGAGAGCAGGGCTGGCGGTGAGCTCCCGGGAGACGAGACGGAAGTGTCGCCCACAAGGGTCTGGGGGGAGAAGCATCTTGTCCTTGAGAATCTCAATGACCTTGTCGACGTGGGTCATGTCCTTGGCAGTGACAACGGGCTTCGCAAGAACATTGGAGAAGGCGTTGACAAAGCAGGCATCTGAGTCCCGGCCTCCGCGTTGCAACGCGCAGTGCCACTGCGTGAGCTGGAGTCGGATTTTTCGTGCTTGTGGGATTTTGCACTGTTGTCATCGTTGTCTTCACTGACTGCGCGCGCGCAGTTCCTGGAGGCCATTGTGCGAGGGGACTGGAAACATGTGTTATGGGAAGGCCGTGTCAAAGGTAGGCCAGAACGCACTGGGATTAATTTGTCGTCAAAACGGCCATTACCCTTTCCTCTGGCTCCAGCGCTATCCTCGCCCCTGTCTATCTCCATGACCTCATTCTCCTTGTTGGTGTCATCGTTTCCAGCAGCTGCAGCTGTCGCCGTCGTCGCAGTGTTATTGGGTGCCGGCGTTGCAGGATTTAGTGTCGTGGTTGAGGTTGAGGCGGTGGATGGATCAGATGTCTTCTTTGTTTTGCACTTCTTCTTGGGGTTGCCTAGGTGCACGACATGCTCTCCAGTTGCTTTGTTGATCATGCCATCGTAGAGCTCATCTAGTTTTGTGTAATAGGGGCAGGGTGTCTTGAAGCATCTGACGTATTTGGTGCCGTGCGCCTGCACAAGAATACCGGCATAAGAAGCTGGTACAGATCGAACACCGCGGACATAGATGAGGTGCGGATGAGGGTTGGCTCGGCAGCTGAGGTGGTACGCTGGTAGTAGCAGCGAATGGGTGAAGTGCGGCACAGGAGCCGTGTACACAGAAACCAGTTGCATAAAAGGATACGCACCTCGAGAAACGTCTTCATAACTTCCTCCGTCGTAGTCGCATGGTGGTCTTCATCGTCCCACCCGATCCCACTATACTTTTTGATGAACAGGTAGGCCTCAAATTTCTCCTTCAGCTGCAAAATAATCAGTTTCGGAGGGCTGCGGGAGTGGAGATGGAGCGTGCATAGTTGATCTTGGATATACACTTTGTTTCATCCTTCTTCGGAGACGTGTCGGGGTTTGCTGCTGCAACGAGTGCGACAACACCGGCCCATACTGAAGGCTTCCAGCCATTACCGGACTGGTGAGTCGATTTCTTGGCGATCAGACCGTCAATGAGCGCGATGCACTCGTCTTCGGTCCAGACGGCCTTCGGGATGGTGTCTTCAGCCGACTTGGGAGCCATGGACGTTGGTGGAAGCGGGAGAGGATGTGGCAGGTGACAGAGCGTGACAAAAGAGATTCTATAGAAGCCGATTCTAGCCGATTCTAGAGTACCCGATCAGGCCCTTAGTATAGTTCCACCTTAACCCATATGTAGATCCTTAATGTAGACGCTTGTGAGCTCCCCCTTGACCAACAATAATAATAAAAATTGAGCCCACATGAAAGTGGGGGAAATTTTCGAGCCGTAAGAGTGGGAAGTTATCGTGTATTTTTCCTCCAGCCAAGTATTATAGCTACTATTTTTCCAGATCATGGAACGATGCTGGGATGTTGAGATGCAAATGTCTCAAGATGCCACTGCGGCAGTGGGAAGCTCCAAAGGTCAGCGGTAGACCGGCCTCACCGATTAATGACGTCAGAAAGGTCTGAGGCGTACGCGGGTTCGACCCCCGCTGGAGCGTGTCCGCGAATGTGCAGTCTTTTTTTTTGTCATTTATTTGCTTTCTTTCTTTAGAATTTTGACGTTCGACCTTTGGGGGCTTTCCTCATTGCTACCCGCCATCGGGCTCGAGTTTCAAGAGTTGGAACGTTAGCAATGGAAGGAGTTGGAAAGTCGAGTTTCCATTCGTTCCTTCATTCCTTCACATTCGTGAGTGCGTCCGTTCATTCATTCGTGAGTCCATTGTGTTTCATTTCATTTATACACCCTGCCCTCGCCTCCCTCGCACACTCTACATGTATTCCTACACCACTTCCCCCCAATCGAAAACAAAACGTGGAAATCGTCTCAAAAATCGAGACGACGGAGAAAGGCGAAGAGAGGTAGACCCGACTAGAACGTGCTGCCCTCTGGCGGCTGGGGGAGCTTGCGGTTTGAGGCGGAGGCCATTTCTCTGTGGGGAGTGAGTCAGTGTCGGCAGAAGGAAAGAGGTGTCCGGGAAACCAAGTATCAGATGTCCAAAACATGAAAGAAAAGACAAGGATGGGAATGAGAGTGGGAATGAGCACCGGCAATTCGGAGAATCACGTGGGTCGGCGCCGCTAAGATAACGGCGCGCGCAATAAACGAGGGTAAGGAAACAACAAGACGGAACTCGAAAGAAAGGACGAGATAGGAGGAAAGGACAAACGAAACGCGCACGCACTTGCGGATCTCGACCAAAACGTGCTCGAGGCTGCTGGCGCGGGACCAGTGTGCGAGGACGGGGAGCTTTGCGGGGTCGACGTCGCCGTTGACCTGGTTGACGAACGGGAGATTTACGCGCGAGAGGAACTGCGGGGCGCCCGCATCAGCACCGTGAAATCCAACACGAACGCGACGCACCTGCACCCTCGGCGGGGCATCCGGGTAACTTTCGCCACACGTAATCTTGAGCGAGTAGATGCGGTTCTCGTGGACGGTGTGGCCGGGGCCGATGATGGTGCCGTTCCAGGCGCTCATCATGATGTCGTCCGAGTCCTCGAGGCCGTAGGAGCAGGAGCCGTCGCCGATGCCTTTTTCGCCCTTTTCGAGCTCTTCGAGGAGGCGGAAGTTGCGCGGGACTGTGGTTGGCATATACTAAGTGAATGCGTATGCTGTATTGGAATAGAAACGCACCCTTTGCCATGGTGAATCGGAGGATGTAAGGGAGGACGATGGATGGATTAGATGGAGTGGCTGTGACAAGGCAGTGACCGTGACATGTCACTACGCGAGTGACGCACTGTGCCGCAGCGAGCAGCATCTTGGACTCGACAATGTTCGGCGGCACATCTACAAACCCATACGATGAGATTGTCGGTGCGTAGTCTCCTTATCCTCCGACTTCGACCTCATACCTTTGCAGTCAAAACCACCGACGAAACCCTCACCTCGGAGAACTGGGAACTCATCCTCAACCTCTGCGACAAGGTCCAGGACGAGGGCCAGGAGGGCGCCCACAACGTCGTAGCCGCCTTGTTGAAGCGATTGACGCACCGGAACCCGAACGTGCAGCTGTATGCGCTGAGTCTTGCGGAGGCGCTGGGGAAGAACTGCAGTATTGAGCTGCATCGTGAACTGGCGAGTCGCGCGTGGACGCAAGGGCTGGAGAGGGTTATTACGGATCGGGTGAGTGCGCGCACGCTGCTTTGATTAGGAGGGAGGGAGGGCGCGGCTTGTGATTTGTTGTGGGGTACTGTGGCTGGCATGCGATTTCGGTGCTACCTCCCGCCTCCCGTCTATCCGCCTTTGCTCGCATCGACGCTGGGGCGGGATTCGGACTTGGGATTTGTGGAGCCCAATACTGCGGCCGCGCATGTGATGCCCCGGGGTCATGATGCACTCCCGAGTCTATCGCCAGGACGTCCGCCCCTCATCGACGCCGCTGCTCGCTACTTTGATGCGCTGGGCGGGATCTGGACTGGGACTTGGGAGCCTTGCTTACTGCGGACGCGTATGGGGCCCCGCGGGGTCACGATGAGCGCCGGGTCGGTCTTGACATGCGCCAGGGCGTCTAGCTGCCAAGTCAAGTCAGTGTCTACACCTCTGCGTCATTCTGCGGCGGACGGCTGGCGGAGACATTCGTCATTCCACCGACGCCGACGCTGACGCGACTTGCGCCTCGAGGGGCGCTGCGCTCGATTTTGCGTGGCAGTGATATTGCGCCACCCGACGGATCTTATCCCGCGATGGTTTCCGCCTTACGTCTTGTGGCGTGCCGCCGTTTACTCGTCCACCGCTGGTGCCCGTGATGTCATGATTGTCGCCCGCTCACCACTCCGAGCTGGCCTTTCTATTCTCTATTCTATTCAATTCAATTCTATCCGTCCGCGTCGCCCTGGGCCGGGGGTGTTGGCGCCGTCGTCTCCTCCCTCATGTTATCCGGTTTCTTGTTTTACTGATATATTAATTTACTCTACCACAGAACACCCACGACCGCGTCCGCACGCGCGCCCTCGCGCTCGTCGCGCAGTGGACCGCCGACTTTGCCGAGGACAGCACGCTCGGCCTCATGGGCGAGTGCTATGAGGGGTTACGGGCGAAGAGTGCGTTTGCCTCTGTTTTCCCCTCTTACATCCTCCATCTCTTTTCTTCAATTGGAAATAACTTTGGAGATATGGGCCGCTCGCTGACGCGCGCACGCAGACTACAAATACACCCGCCCCGACACGCCGCCGCCGCCCGCCGCCGACGACGCGATCCGCCGCCGCGAGGAGGAGGAGCTGCAGCGCGTGCTGGAGATGAGCGTGAGGGATCGCGGGGGGAGGGTTCCGTGAGTTGTTTTTCTCTTCGCTTTCTACCCCTCCTCTGTTCTTTTAAAATCTATCGTATTATGTCAAATATACTAACACCGATGTCCCACACAGATACGCATTCGAACTCGACTCGGGGTCCGGCTCCGCCGCCGCGGGGGGATCGTCCTCCGCCGCTGCTGGTGCCTCTGCCGCTGGGGCTGGGTCCTCGAGTGTCGGCGTTGGGTACGCGGGCGGCTACTCGCCTGCGCCCGCGGCGACGGAGAGGGAGCGGAGTCCGAGCCCGGTGGCGGCGTCTGGTGGGTCTCGTATTCATTTGAAAAACGAGAATACTGACGTATCTACGTAGCAGGTGCAGGCAACGGCGCAAACGCAGCAGCGACAAACGGGATCGTGACGCGCGTGCGAGCGCTGCACCCGTTCGCGCCGACGGAGGCGGGGGAGCTGGGATTCGAGAAGGGGGATGTTATTAAGGTGGGTGACTTGGCTTTTTTTGGCTTTTGCGTCTGCGTTCGTGTGGGCGGTGCGGAGGCTGGGAAGTGTGCGTCGGAAGGGGAAAGCGGTCACATACCACGGGGGACGGCGACCGATGCGATGTGTCTCTGTCTGTCCTCTCCCTTTGCCCTCTCTTTTGTCTGAACACACGAGGATTATTACGAGCATCGCTGACGCTTTTGCAGGTCGTCGACCGCGGGTACAAGGACTGGTGGCGCGGGCAGCTGAGGGGGCGGACGGGGATCTTCCCTGTTAATTATGTGGTACGTCCGCTACTCCCATTTTGCTACATGCACCTTGCCCTACACGCTCCCTCTTTCCCCACTCCTCCCTCCCTATCACTTTCTCCCCCTAACCTGCCTTCCTTGCCACGCTCCCTCCTTTCCTTTCCACTTGCTTCTTCCTCCCTTCTCTCCATCTTCGCTATTTCCTTCCGTCTATCCCGCCCCTCCATCCTACCCAATGAATAATCTAACCCCCTCCCCTCCAGGAACCCCTCCCCGAACCCACCCCCGCCGAGCTCGCCGCCGAGGCGTCTCAGGAAGCCGCGGTCTTCGCGCAGGCGGTGAACGTCGAGCGCCTGCTCAATATGCTGCGCGCGCTGGACCCCGCAAAGGGTGATAATTTGGCGGACGATGAGGAGATTCAGGTGCGTTGTGTGGCGGTTTTGTTTTATTTCCGTTTTGGGAGGGAGGCGGGAGGGGGATCTTGGGAGGCAGAAGGGGAGATGTTTGTCGCTCGAGCTCGGGAGTTTGTCTCACGGGACGTGAGAGGGAGGTGGGCGCGAAGAGGTGGACGCGAAGAGGGGATGGGGTGCCCGATCCCGCCCATACGCCCCACTTCAACCTGGAGGGAGTCAGGGGTGGAGAGTCGGTACGGTGGACAGTGACGACGATGGGAAACTACCACACGCCGCGGGCTTGGAGCATTCGGAAGACGAAGATCATGTGTGTGGTGTGGAGGGGGAGATGGGGCTGAGCCATATCCTGACGCCGGACGCCATTGGTGTTTCGGTGTTGACGGTGCGGCGACAGCGGGATGTGGACGCCTCTCCTCCTTATCTTTCTGTTCTATTTTTTGTGTTTGCATCGAACTTGCACTGACGCATCTTCGTTGACAGGAACTCTACCGCTCGTGCATGGCGCTGCGGCCCAAGATCGTCAAACTTATCGACAAGTACAGCCAGAAGCGGGGTATGCCGTCGTCTCCCCTCACTGCTCGAACCGCTCTGCTAACTATCGCCCCCAGCCGACCTCGTCTCGATGAACGAGACCTTCGTCCGCGCACGCACGATCTTCGATCGCATGATGGAGGAGAGCCTTGCGCGGCACGGCGGCGCGCCGTACTACCAGCAGCCCCAGCCCCAGCCGGGCGGCGGCGCGTGGGGCGGGTATCCCGATGCGGCGGCGTATGCGTACGCGCAGGCTCAGGCGCAGCAGGCGGGACCGCAGCAGGGCGCACAAGGACAGGGGCAGGGGTACGGAGTATATGGTGCGCAGGGACCGGTGCCGTATCCGACGCAGGCCCAGCAGCAACAGCAGGCGCAGGGCCCGACACCGTACCCCGCGCAGGGCCAGTCCCAGCAAGGCCAGGGGCCGACGCCGTATCCCGCCCAGCAACAGCAGGGGCCGACGCCGTACCCTGCCCAGCAGCAACAGCCCGAGCCGTACCAGGCTCAAGGACCGACGCCCTACCCTGCACAGGCGGCTGCGACGCCATACCAGCAGCCGCAGCCTGCACAGCAAGCCCAGG